ATCATCACAGACTGGTTGTTATTTTTTGATCAGATACAGTGATGTTGTAACGTCGAAACATGTAGAGTCGTCAACTTTTTGAAGGCCATAGATAGGCCTAAATAAAATGTTTTTCATTGTGTACCAGTTTAACGTTAAATATTATTTATGATTTTAACAGTGAATTGATATTGTAGTTCTCACTCATAAAGGAATATTCCCAGCATCATAGACAACTAGTATGCCAGTATTTAATAAATAAGTAAAATAAATCCACAAAAATATTGGTGTATTATTTTGATATCAGTATATTATTGAAAAATTAGATTTTATTGGTATAATGAGTAGATCATCCAAAGTAATTGTATATTGCTTAATGGCAAGAAGTTTTGTAGTTGAGGATTCTTGTGATTTTCAACTTTAGTTGTTTTTTAATTGTGTGATGATAAAAAAAGATTAATCTTTTGCTATTTAAGATGGTTTGATATAATTAATTTTATAAATACTCGTTAGTCATGGGCTAGGTATTTAGGGAATGATGTGTATTTTTAAGGAACAACAAATGATAATGTGTTAGATATTCCTTTGTTTGTAACAGGGGACAGACACTTCAGTGTCATTTGGGGCAAGACACGAATGTGTATTTTTGATAATTTTGTGAATGATTCATGTGTAGCAGAACATGTAGGTTGAAGAAAATTGTGTATATATATTATTTAAAGATAGATTTTAGTCAGTTAGCATATGCTGAAAATAGTGTTGTAACATTAATAGTTAAAATATTTCAGACTGTGTTAAAGATTATTGCAATAACACAGTTAAATCTGACTTAATTTAGATGGTTTGAAAGTATTTTTTGTAAAGTAGACAGAAATTTGAAGCAAAAAAGTAACTTGGATTAGACATAACATTACATATATCGACTGTCAAGTGCATACTTGTAGAAATTGTCAAAAGATTGTACAAATAAAAAACCATAAGGAGCTGAAGTGTAGGGAAAATTTTGTGTTAAGGATATTAAATAAAGTTTTAAGGTGTAGTGCTTATTTTAAATGTAAAGTGTACTTATTTCATATATTTCTGTGAGACAGAAATGTAGAAGACCAGTCAGAATAATGAAATTCTGGGTAAAATAATGTTTATTGTGTGGAGAATATGTGAATAAAATAGTATCACACAAACTAAGAAAAAATTTTAGATATCTGGGCTAAGAAATATAAGTAGTTTTAGTAGATTGAAATTAAAATTAAAGTTTTAAATGTTAAGCAATTTTTTAATTGGAGTAAATTTGATGTGAAGTACTAGGAATAAATATTGTTGTAATATTTTCTATCATTTGGAAGGTTCTTTTGGATTATTTGGTAAAAGTAATGCAAAGTCAAGTTAATGATAATAAAAGAGTTATATTTCTACTTCAACCACAAAAGTTCTACCAGTTAGGTTTGCTAGAAGGCAAAACTTCACGAAAAATTTCAGTAAAAAAACTGGATAACAAACTCACTAACACACTCATTAACTTAGAAGTTGTCCAACAACATTCTAATAGACTTACTAAACTCACTGACAGTATATATTTAAATTTTTGTATTGTTACAAATCATTTCTCCTACTCTCTAGAAAATTTTAGTCATTTAGCTATGTGACCTTAAAACTCTCTCTAGTGAAGATCTAAAATCAGAATATGAATGATATAGCCTACAACTGTCCTTCCCTGAATTGTGAAGTCCTTTAATATTTGAACAACCCCATTACAAACATGCAAATGTTGGTCATTATATTTATCTTCCACAATTAGCAATAATGTAACTCTTTACAAATAGCAAAATTAATACATAAACAGACATTAGAATCATTAATTAAATGTGTTAAATAAATCAAATTACAATAGTTTTTGATTAAACAAGTAAAATCTGTTTATATCTCTTTATTGCCTCTAAACTGTCAAATCACAAACTTTTGGTGGTTTTCTTTTACATGGCTTATGGTATGAAGATGGAATGGCCTTTTCCACTTTATCAACACTTGCTATTTTGTCACTGGCTAGTAAGTTGCCTGTAGCTTTGTGTATTACTGTTCTATAACTCATGAGTAAGAAAAGATCTTGATCCCATATTTTCTGATGTTCATCCATATTAGTGGCTAATTTATTTAAAATTCTATTCTTGTATTTCTCTACCATTTCATCAGAAGATGAATAAAACGCTGTTGGCCTGATCTTTTTTTTTTTATTCCAAGGACTTTATACAAGGTT